TCCTTCCATCTTAGCCTTGGTCTACCTCTACTCCTATTTTCTAGATTATTAAGTTAGTTAAGGAAATTGCTAAAAGCAACCATAATTGCTTAAAAAAGTACAGTAAATATCTGTATAAATGGGGAAATATTGATTTGCCACAGCTAGGTACTTCAAAGCTCATTTTAAAACAAAAAGCTGAAAGTAAGTGCATCTTCAAACACTGTTTGGTCTCAAAATAAAAACAACACTTAGAATTAACCTGCCATTATTATATTTTCTGGATTATTGACTATAGATCTTTCGAAAAAAATTGGAACTTTAATGGAATAGATAATTACACAAACTAATCTTTATGCCGGGTAAAGCAAAAAGAAATGCATAGAAAATAGCCTTTTTGGGAAAACTATTATTCTCTAGTTATTACCAACTGCCAAATAAGCAGATGTATTGACAAAATTAATCTGACTGCAAAGTAGCTAGAGTTGCAGAAGCAATACGGAGACGTAAATTCGAACATATGTTACGGTTTTCTCATCTAAATGATAACTCGAAAATAAACACTGTCAGGTTTTACAAGATCTGCCCTCTCTTTGATTATCTACATAATTCATTTAACCAAGTACCAGTTGGAAATTCAGGTGCCATAGATGAGAGAATAGTCTCGTATTATGGACGTCATCCTACAAAAAAAAACAATTTATTAAAGGCAAACCTATTCATATTGGGTTTAAGTTGTTGTTTTTAGCAATCCCGAAAGGATTTGTATCTTATGCTAAACCTTACTGAGGTACACACACAAAGCTTCCTAATACTGGACTCGGATAAAGAGGAAATTAAGTACTAGGATTGGCTGAATATGCCAACGTTCCTAACTGAAATAGATTATATTTCGAGAATGGATTTACTTCTATGGTCTTACTTAAAGAACTGTCTAAACATTAATTATGGAGAAATTAAAACGTTGTGAGAAAATAAAATAGCAAAATGGATGAACTTGCGTCCGAAAGAATCTTTTAAGAAAGGTGAGAGGGTAACGACGACACATTTCACATATAACGCAAAGCTAATAGTTTTAGATAGAGTGACAATGCTATTGTAACAGTATCATTTAATTACCACACGAAGTTGCCGTTTAATCATGTTTAGAGGTTTAATAATGTAAAAAAAGAAGGTGATGATTTAACTGCCTCATGCAAATTTTCACCTTAATTCTAATATTTGGTCTGGGAGATCTGGACCTAAATGATAAAGTACTAATACTACTCAACATAGATAAAAAATTATCAATTAAAAATGGTTGTGACCGCTCTATGCTTGATCTATGGATGAATGTTGTGTTCAAGGTTGGCTATTATATAGGCTCCTAGATCAGGTTTTAACATACTTGTAATTTAGAAGAACAGTAGTATTAGAGCTTCTTACAAAATATGGATGGTGAACAACTCAACCAGGGCCCCATACATCGTTTAAACATCCACTGTTGTAGAAGATCTTAGAACAGACAAGAAAAATCACACAATCATGAGACTTCAAGAAAAACATATTTTCGTAACAAATTTAATCTGTTCCTACATCTAAATTGCTATGAAAGTTTCCATAAATAATTTTCATACTTATATAGTTTTGTTAAAAGACGATTAGTTTTTAATACATTTTTATTAACCCTGCTGTCCTGTTTGGGTCTATTTGACCCAAAAAAAAAATTATTTCTTATTTTACAAATTATTACGCGGCGTAACGTTTTGGTGTTTCGTGACTTTATTACTTAATATAAGGTCTTTCAATTGCATAAAAGATAAAAAATCAACTTGCTCATTTTTTTGATAAAAATTAAATTGTTACCTATGGTACGCTCGGGTCAATATGACCCACTTATTTAAACCGTTAAAAATTACCTGTATAGGTATGTTTAGTTGGTAGTATTTTATATTTTCTAATAGTGTTTGTCAGTCAGGTACGTATATAAATAAAAACAAGTTTCTACAAGCTAGAACTTGTAAAATATGTGTAGTGTAGCTGGACGATGTCAGGTAGAATGGCATGTCACGTAAAAGGAAGTGGGGGTGATAGACAAGTGGTAAAACACTAATATTCCAAGGCCAAGCGCATTCATTTATTCGTTTATATTTCAAATTTCAGTCTATGTTTGCATGTTGATAATGTCGCACCGTAGAGCGCTAACCGAAGATGAGCTTCGCGAGCTCGCGAACGTGTCAGAGAGTGATGAGTGCATATCAGAAACAGAAAACAATACAAGTAGTGAGAGTGAGGAAGAAAGTAGTGATGAATCCTTTGGTGTTCCATTCTACGTACAACATCCTGTAGAACCTTCTGTAACGGTTCCTTCAAAAGACGATACCATCCAATGGTCGCTCGATCCTCCTTACCAACGCGGTCGTTTTTCTACGGCCAATGTTATAAATAATGCTCCAGGAGTTACAAGGTACGCATGTGCACGAATTTTCGATATTAAAAATTCATTTGACGCACTCTTTTCTGACATAGTTGCAAACCAAATTATAAATATGACCAACATGGAAGGACAGCGCGTTTTTGGAAACAACTGGAAAGACTTAGATAAAATTGGTTTTCAAGCATACATTGGTCTGTTATTGTTAGCTGGAGTTTTTAAGTCCCATGGTGAATCAACTAAAAGTTTGTGGAATGAAGAAACGGGTCGTAGTATATTTCGAGCAACAATGTCCCTTGAAGTATTTACAAAAATTTCGCAAGTAATACGTTTTGATAACAAGACTACTAGACAGGATAGGAGACGTACTGATAAACTTGCTGCAATACGTGAAATTTGGGAAAAATGGGTTGAAAATCTACCAAAATTTTTTAACCCTGATGAAAATGTTACCGTCGACGAGCAATTAGTTGCCTTTAGAGGCCGCTGTCCATTCAAACAGTACATTCCAAGCAAGCCAGCGAAATATGGCATAAAAATTTGGGCCTTATGTGACAGTAAAAGTTCTTATGCTCTAAAATTGCAGATCTATACAGGAAAGGAAGCAGGTGCCGCGCCAGAACGAAATCAGGGAATGCGTGTGGTGTGCGACTTGAGTAGTGATTTGAAAGGCCACAATATTACATGTGATAACTTTTTTACATCGTACAATTTAGGACAACTTCTTCTAAAAAGAAAAAATACAATGCTGGGGACTATAAGAAAAAATAAACGAGAGCTTCCAGCACAAATTGCGAATAAAGAAGTTCATAGTTCGTCTTTTTACTTCACACAAGATACCACTGTTGTTAACTATATTCCTAAAAAGAATAAAAATGTTATTCTTATGAGTACTTTGCATCATGAAAAGGCTATTAGTGACAGAAATGACAAGCCCCAAATTATTTTAGATTAAAATTCCAGTAAGGGGGCAGTGGATACTCTAGATCAGCTTGTTGGTACATATACATGTAAGAGGAAGACAAATCGCTGGCCCATGATTGTTTTTTACAATATGCTGGACATTTCTGCCTACAACGCGTTCGTTTTATGGACATCGATAAATCCCCAATGGTATACCAATAAACTTACAAAACGACGAATTTTTCTTGAGGAGTTGGGAAAAACACTTATCCTTTCCAGGAAAAATTTACCGAGAACTAAAGACTCACAAGAACTGGTAAAAAGAACAGGAGCAGAAGCGAGTAGAGAAGATGGAAATTCTAGTGAACCGTCTATGGACCATCCAACTCCGCCTGCTAAACGAGCACGCTGTAAATTTTGCTCTAAAAGGGATAACAAGACTAATATTTTATGTTGTATATGTCATAAACATATTTGTAAAACCCATTCTTTCTATTACTGTCCCAGTTGTAAACTGAATTAAATTTTGTAGATATTTGTTCTTAGGGTTTTCTGGGAAAGAAAAAATGCTTTTTATTTTTGTTAATAAGGTTTAATTTACAGTAACAATATAATTATTGTTTAATTAACTATAATTTTTTATTAATACAGTTTTGTTTAGCACCATTAGCTTATTTTATTTCTATTAGGGAGCGTAAATCATAGTTGGGTCATATTGACCCGAACAGTACATTTGTGTAGTTTACTCGAACGGTACAGCAGGGTTAATAGAACTTTTTTATTATTACCAAACCGTAAGCACTCCATGGCAACTACAGATGCCACTCAATTTGACAACCTTCTGACAGACCATCTTTTTTTTGTACATTTTTTAGCAAATAAATACTACTCTATAATGAAATCTATAAAAAAATTTACAACCTTCAAGCTCATTTCTAAGTACTAATGGGTTAATGAAAATTAGAAAAAGATCATCATCTCAGATCATATAGGAAGAGCAAGAGGAAAAACAACTGTAAAGAGATTACTTACAAATACTATATAGAAAAAAAGTTGTTTTTTGCAACCAAATAAAAAATTGTAAAGTTATTAAAAAATCTTGGAAATAGAGCTCAAAGAGTCGTAGAAAAATACCGAAAGATGAAATAATAAAATGATATGATCAAAGATGTGGTATCGATGAATGCATATCAAATAGAGAAAAATGTATTAAAATAAATAATAAAAATATATTAACACACGTACACTATTAAAAATATGTTATGATTACATAAAATAAATTAAAACATATCAAGCATGCTTAAAATCATAGTATTATCTATGTATAAAATAGAAAAACACATATACAATATAAACCCATTGAATCATAAAAGACAAACGTGAAATGTAGTCGGGCAAAATGAGCACCGAAATTGCAATTGACAGAGTAAATAAACTATGTTTACTTATAGGTAAAGAAGGACTGAATATATTGCTTTATCTTTATGACAATTAGTTTATAGTATTGCTCTGTTTGCTGTTTTTATTATGCATCTTTATGTTTTTTTTTTTTGTTTTATTTGCATACTGCACTTATTATTTTAAATATCGTCTTACTTTTTAACCGCCGACCAGATATTTTAGTGTTAAATGTGTATTGTGCCTGTGTTCACGTTTGCAACCGTAGTGTTAACCCATTTGTGATAAATAATAGATCTATTCACAGGACAACGGCTGGACGAAAGGACGTAAATAATCCGAAGACTTCCGATCTAACGTATTTGGGACTAGTCAGAGATGGTACACCGTGTGGGGAAAACCTCATTTGCCTTAACCAGACCTGCACTAGTATATTTCCCTACGTGAAACAAGAAAAATGTCCTTCGAACCAACCCATTAACGAGTGCTCTGGACATGGGGTAAGATTTGATTTTGATTTTATATAAATTAAGTAACAAATTTCATAACAATAAACTTAAGACCACATTGAATGATTTTAATTTATCTCGACAAATTATTTACACTTACTAAACTTAGCCGAATGTAAATGTTACACTTCCCAGAAACTTAAGAAGTTTATACAACAATGCTACACAGTCGCAAAGTATCTTCTATGTTCTTCTTCTTCTTTTTCTTTTTATGTAGATATGCCTCTGTCTGTTTTTTAATGTTCCTCCAGTAAGCTGTCGTTCTACCTTTTTTGTGGTCTTCCTACTGATCGTCTTCCTATTGGGGAACTGTCTCTTGCCGTCTTTAGTACTATATTTGTTGTCATTTAGCTTATATAATCGTTTTATTAAACTCTTATACTTTTTATTCAGTTATTGTTCTACACCTTACATCTACGTCGTATATCTGTAATTTTAGGTATGTCCCATAGTATTTTGCCATCAATATTTCCAAGTGTTTTTATCTCTGCTGTTTCTAACATCTTTTTTGTCCTCTTTATGTTGGGTCTAATTTCTGCTGCGTATATCATTATTGGTCAGGTGACTGTTTAGTTAATTCTACCTTTTATTTCTTTCCCAAAATTTTTATTTCTCCACATTGTTTTATTCAGGAAGCCTGCGGCTAGGTCTGCTCTAATCGCTTGATCTTTCGTCTTAATATTGGCAAATTAATTTAGTGAAATCGTAATTGATGGATATTCCAAGTTATAAAATTCCTTTTTATATAGCTCTTACTAAGTTCCAAAAAGATTTCAGATATCGTATAGGAGACTGCTCCTTTTTAAAAGTATGTTAGCTTTCTTACTTTCCCTGGTCTACTTATAGCGTATCATCTACATCAAGATGACATTTTTTGTTGCTTTTTTCGCAAAAATTCTTTATCGTTACAAACCAGCTCTACCACATAAAAAAGAACAGCTTTTTAAATAGCTTATTTTTCATCATCATTTTGGCTTTACAACCCTGTGTGGATCCTAGCCTCCCCAAGACTTCTCTTCCAGTCGTTCCTATCCATCGCCTTCCTTCGCCAAGCACGTATTTTCATATTTCTCATATCTTGGTCTATGTTATCTAGGAATCTTGTTCTGGGTCTTTCTCTTCTCCTTTGACCAATAGGTCTATCAAGGAGCGTTTTTCTAGCTGGGTCGGTTTGCTCCATCCGCATTACATGGCCTACCCACCTCAGACGTCCTATCTTAATGTGTTTTACGATATCTGGTTCCTGGTATATTCTATAGAGTTCGAAGTTGTATCGTCTTCTCCAGACACCATTTTCATTTACCGCTCCATAGATTTGCCTCAGTATTTGTCTTTCGAAACATCCTAATATGTTTTCATTGCTTTTTGTTAAAGTCCAGGTTTCTGAACCATATGTTAGCATTGGGCGTTTTATTGTTTTGTAGAGTTTTACTTTTGTATTTCTTGATATAGCTGTAGATTTAAAAAGGAGATTAAACCCAAAATAGCATCTATTAGCCGTGCAAATTCTGCGGTTTATCTCTGCGGTAATGTCATTTTCAGTATTGACGAGCGTTCCCAGGTATACAAATTCGTTAACTGCTTCGATGCCGTCATTTTTTATAACAAGTGGCCGTCGTATTTGTGGTTGCGGACCTACTTTCATGTATTTCGTTTTATTAATGTTTATTATTAAACCCATTTTTGTAGCCGCTTTCTTTAGTGCTACATACGCCTCTCGTGCTGCATTTTCCGTTCTCCCAACAATATTGATATCATCAGCATATGCTAGTATTTGCACAGATTTGTTATATATTGAACCGGTAGTTTTGATTTGTGACATACGTATTACTTTTTCCAGAGCTAGAATAAATAGTATACAGGAGAGTGGATCTCCCTAACGTAGCCCGTTATTTGTATTAAAAGGTTCAGAGAGTTCCCCCTGGATTCGTACTCTGCATTCAACTTTTTCAAGGGTTAGTTTGGTTAGACTTACCAACTGATTTGGTACTCCCAGGTCTATCATTGCTCTTAACAATTCTCTTCTATTTACAGAGTTGTAGGCTGTCTTGTAGACTATAAGTTTTCTCTAGAATTTGTGTTAGAGTTGAAATCCGATGAATTGTTGATTTACCACCTCTGAAACCAGACTGGTATTGTCCTATGATTTGCTCTGCATACGGTGCCATACGATGGAACAGTATATTGGAGAATATTTTATACGCTGCATTCAGGAGCGTAATTTCTCGATAGTTAGAGCATTCAAAGATATCTCCCTTTTTGTGTATGGTGCAAAGTATTCCAATATTCCAATCACTGGGGAGGGACTTCTGTATCTATATTTCGTGTTCTTATCTTTTATAAGCTGCTGTAGCGCTATTATGATATCGTGGCCACCTTCTTTATATAATTCCGCTGAAGATTATCTATTCCGGGTGATTTGTTTCTGGCTAGTTTATTGACAGCGTCTTTAACTTCCAGGATCGTTGGTGGATTCTCCTCCCACTCGTCTACTCCGCTTACCTCGCAGCTTTCGTCCTCCGGGTTTGTCTCTACATTGTTTTATTCAGGCAGCCTGCGGCTAGGTTTGCTTTAATCGCTTGATCTTTCATCTTAATATTGGCAAATTAACTTGAAATCGTAATTGATGGATATTCCAAGTTATAACATTCCTTTTTATATAGCTCTTACTAAAATCCAAAAAGATTTCATATATCGTGTAGGAGACTGCTCCTTTTTAAAAGTATGTTAGCTTTCTTATTTTCCCTGGTCTACTTATAGCGTATCATCTACATCAAGATGACTTTTTTTGTTGCTTTTTTCGCAAAAATTCTTTATCGTTACAAACCAGCTCTACCACACAAAAAAGAACAGCTTTTAAATAGCTACACTTCTTAAAAGAACACATTATTTTACCATATGAATGTTGCTCTTAGTGTATGATCTAAAAAATAGTAACTTTTTCTTCTCGGATTTTTGAGGAGTGGTCCAAATGTTCAAAACATACTTCAGTCCTAGTAGAAGGTGGGCATAACTGCGTTTCAACCTTGGTCATACTAATTTATTTTTTTCTATCTAATGTACTCTTTAGGTCTCTCACTAGTCAGTATTACAGAATAATATTGTTTTTAGCGCTCTAATAAAGAATATTGTAATCGTCCTGTAGTTCTAGAAATTTAAGACAAACCAAATTTTAAAATAATTGGTACCTAGCGTATGTCGTTCTTTATTTAAATTTTATTCACCATATTTCAAGAAACAGCAATCAAATAACTGTTTTTTAACTATCTAACTATTTTAACCTGTTACTTCATACAAATTTTTCATTTAAATATTAGGAGCTGTAAATTTTTAAATCAGTGTAGAATAATTACTCTGGGTTTTTTTTCAGATTTCTTTCTTCGTGTTTTATTTTCTTTCTTTACATTCTGGTATCATTCAGCATCCTTTCAAATATTGCTGTATTTAAAAAAGGAAAACACAGTTAAGATCTGATTTCACGTATAGTGCCTCTGTGTATCCTCTTATACGTATTTCGGCCTAATAGGCCTCTTCAGAATGGCAATTCACAGTCGCTCTGAACGTGAAAATAAATCTCTTCTGTCTTGGGAAACAACTCTAACATGGCTTCTAATGGACGCAAATAGCGACATCTGATATTAAAATCCGTAAGCTAATTTTCGCAACCAAATTCAGATTTTTGCTTTAATCTGTACCTGTTAAGAATTGCAAGACAAAACAAACGTTAATAAAAATGGTATTAGAGACATGTGGAATCTAAAATTTGCATTCCACAACATATCTCCTTACTATACGTGAAATCAAATCTACACTGTATGTTCCTTTTTATTGCGATTTACTCTGTACGAGTACTAAAAACTCATTCGCTAAGGATTTATGCTTAGTTGAGGAGATGCATTGTGAAATGCAAATTTTAGATTCCCCTTTTCTCTAATAACATCTTTATCAATGTCTGATTTGCCTTGCAATTCTTAGAAGGCACAGATTAAAGCAAAAATCTGAATTTGGTTTCGAAAATTAACTTACGGATTTTAATTGCTGTATTTGTTTAATATATCATCATCAATCAGCCAATCGCGTCCACTGCTGGACATAGGCCTCCCTCAGTTCTTTCCAGTGTTCTCTACACTGGGCCGCTTGTAGCCAGTTTCCCGCTAGACGTTTAATGACATCGGTCCATTAAGTCGGTGGTCGTCCTCGGCTTCTTTTATAATTTCTGGGCCTCCATTCCATAATACGTCTTGTCCACCGTCCATCTTGTGTTCTGGCTAAGTGCCCTGCCCAGTTTCACTTAAGCGTCGTGGTTCTTTCGATGACGTCTTGAACTCCTGATCTTCGCCTGATTTGTTGGTTTGTTATGTGGTCTCGAAGGCTCACGTTCAGCATTGCACGTTCCATGGCTCGTTTTGTAACTCTAAGTTTATTCGCAGATTTTTGTGTGAGGGTTAAAGTCTCTGCTCCATAAGTTTGTACAGGTAAAACACATTGGTTATAAACCTTTCGCTTGAGACACATGGGAATTGAACTTTTTAGAATATGGCTTAATTTGCCAAATGCTGCCCATGTTAGACATATTCGCCTCTGTATTTCATGTGTTAGATTGTCTCTGCTTATTTTGATTTCATGTCCCAGATATTTGTAAGTGTCTGTTTGTTGTACGGTATTATTGTCAATGATTATATTTCCACTCATTACGAGATTTGTTATAATTTTAGTTTTCTCAAAGTTTATCTTCAATCCTGCTCTTTCAGACAGACTTTTAAGCGAATGCATCATAGAAACTGTATCATGTAAGTTATCTGCGATTAATACAACATCATCTGCAAACCTTAGGTGATTTAATCTTTCTCCATCTATATTGATGCCCATATCTTGCCATTGAGTACCCTTAAATATTGACTCTAGAGCTGCCGTGAACAATTTTGGTGAAATACTGTCTCCTTGTCTAACTCCTCGACCTAAGCTGAATTTTTCTGTGTCTTCGTGCAGTC